TATATCTGATTATTAGGAAGATTGAACACTTCCCTTCTCATGGGTTTATAGACCGTTTGTTTTTATTATTTAACCACACCTATCACTCGCTCATTTTACTTAGACTTTGTACATTTGTAAGAGCTTTCCCTATGAACAATATTAATAAGTTTAACTGATATTTTGCAAGCATTTCTTCTGATCGCCTACTATTTGAGATACAGAAATTTAAAATTTGGAATTCTGATTCTGAAATGCCCACACCTTGGCATTTTTATTTACGGATTCCTTTTCCATTGCAAAATGATAAACTGCAGTGTTACTATGCCAACATTATAATTACCTGAACGAATAAAAAGCCTAACTTTTTAAATTTAGATTTTAAGGGTGTGCCAAACACAGAGGACACCCATTCCCCTAAATTTCTTTTGGGACTGCCTCCTGGATCTATGCTGGTGGAACTGTCTTGTTGTTTTTGTTGTGTTTTCGTTTTCATTTTTGTTTTTAACTTTAAAAAATATTATTTTATGTGTATGTGTGTATTGCCTGCATGTAGGTAAGTGCATCCGTATTGTGTGCAATGCCCATGGAGGACTGAAGAGGCTGTCAGATCCCCTAAGACTGGAGTTATGGACAGTTGTTAGCTGCCATGTGTGTGCTGGGATTCAAACCCGGGTCTTCTGCAAGAACAGCCAGTGTTCTTAATCAGTGAGCCATCTCTCCAGCCCCGGAACTGTCTTGTAACTCTGTCCCTGAATCTTTGTCCCAGGACCAGCCCACTCATAATTTTATTCAAAATGGTTTCTCTAACTTCAATTGGGGAAATACAAGCTTAGCTTCACCCTAATCTTAACAGACTATTTGGCCTTTCCTTCTTTAGTTCTAGAATATCTCATTCCTCCAAGGCCATACATCCTTCCCAATCTCCACTGTATGCAATGGAGATGGGACATCACCTTCAGCACTTTGATGTGTTAATTTTCAAGCATTCATTCATTCATTCATTCATTCATTCATTCTATTTTGGGGTGGAGTACCAAACTGAGGTAGCCAGGGAAAGGAGATCAGGTGCCAAGGTCATAAGACACAAGAGCACATGGTTTTGCTGGGGTTAGTTAAAAGTAATTAGTCCAGATTCTGTCCATTTATAAAAGTCATTCCTACAATGAATATCCCTCTCAGTTATTTTAAGCTTCAATAGCACACTAAGCCTTTTAATTTATACATTATATTTAGTATAAAGTATGAGAACTGGATGTGAATTCTCTTATTTATTTCTTTCCATATTATCTAATACTCTCCCCCTTGTGTCTAAATTCCATTACTTGAACCACTGTAGACACTTAATGAATGTTATTATCTGTTAGGGAAAGGACCTCTTAATCATAATTTTTAAATTAACTTTTCAAAGTTTTCTTGATTTGCACATTACTCACATTCTGAATGTTTGCCTTACTATTAGGTCATCCTTACTTTTATCCCTCCTAACTTGAACCATGTAAACAACCCTGAACCTTAATACAGCCAGCCTAACCAACTGGTAGTTCAGTTATAAACATAATAAATAATAAGAAAGATGTTATTGTTCCATTTATCATGTCTTTCAGAATTTTCAAACTTTGAGATATTTCTGTTTGTTTGGGAGTTTTATGGCGTTTTGTTGGTGGTACATGTTCCTGTTTTGTTTGGTTTGTATCCTTTGTGAGAAAGGGTCACTTGCAACTTAGGCTGATTTGAAACTCATGATATAGTCAGGAATGACCCTGAGCTTCTGATTCTTCTGCCTCCTTCTCCCAAGTGCTGAGATTATAGGCATGTGCCACTAACCCTTGGTTATATGTTATAACCAGGGCGTCATGCATTTTCGCTAAGCTCTCTACCAACTGAGCTGCAGTATTTAGCCCCTTGGCTATGCTTTTTTGAAACAGGGTTTTCATCTTATAACCTTGGATGACCTGAAGCTCACAGTGCAGTCCAGACTCACTTCAAAATCTCAGCATCTCTCCTGTCTCAGCCCCCTGAATACCGAGATTACACCCCAGAGCAATAACGCCAGCCTCAAACTTTGGGTTTTAATAGGATAAAAATGTCAGATCAGTGTCTGCGGCCCAGGAACATTGAACTTTCCCTTTTCTTTTTAGAGTGTGGAAGGGGAACATCATGAGAAAGCTGTGGAGCTACTCAAGGCTGCCAAGGACAGCGTCAAGCTGGTGGTCAGGTACACCCCCAAAGTCCTGGAGGAAATGGAGGCTCGCTTTGAAAAGCTCCGGACAGCAAGGCGTCGGCAGCAGCAACAATTGCTCATTCAACAGCAGCAACAGCAGCAGCAGCAGCAAGCACAGCAAAACCACATGTCATAGGTGAGGCAAGCCTTACTGTGCCAGGAAGGTGCCTCCGTGGGCACGGGCATGTTGCTTCCTAAATGTACTTCCTTAGCCAGCTGAAATAAAAATCTTTCTGTGTAGCAAATACTCCAAGGAAAATTAATCAAATGAAAGATAATGATGTCAGAAAACATAAACAGGCTTTTGATTCAGCTATAGTCCCCGCAAATGCAAGATCGTTTGGAAAATGATTATTTTGCTTTGGGAAAGGCAGGTAGAGACCCTAGGATGCCTTTATATAAAGCAGGAAAATGCACCCTACTCTAATATTGATCATTATGAGAATATGAGTTGATTCCAATGCCCACACATCCCCTTGACCAGTGGCTTTTACACAGTATACAAACAACACAACCTTAAAGTGCTGGTCCTGGGAAGATCTCCTCTAGATTTGAGATATATAGTATTAGAAAAGTGCTCCATGTGAAAGAATAAAGTAGCAAAATGCCAGTGCCTCTAAGAGACTGAAATGTTTTTAGTTATTCATTTAAAATATATGACTCTTCTATCTTCCAAATTCACTTTTCAACAACAAAAATATGCTAAATCAAGTTATGCTGTATATTTTCAAGAAAATTGAAGAAAAATGTGTTAGTGGTAAGCGTGTCCACTTTTGAGGTGCCTACTATGTACTACTAATATCCTTGTCTCCTGTTATCCCTAATCCTTTGAAAAACCCTTCAAGGCAAGTATCATTAAAGGCCCATTTGGGGTAGGCAATCTGAAGCTGCAATCACTGCAGTGCACTCCCCACAGCCACACTTAACAAGCAGCTTAGAATTACTTTTCTTCTTTCTCTAGTAGATATTCCATCTGCCCATATCAGATGTTCTGAAGTTAAGTTTTCCATGCTATTCTTGGGAAAAGATAGTTCCTATCTTTAGGCACCTGTGTGCTGTGATGTCTTCAAATCACTTGAAAGGACGTTCAAACGATCCTGGGAAAGTGATAGCAGGTGATAGTGATTTTCAGTTATTCGACATCAGATCACTATTTGCACTACAAAGACCCTGATTGTGACATGAGGCTTGCCTTTTTTTACTGACACTAGTGACAAGGAAAGGCTGCATGGGGAATAGTTTTTGTTCTGTTTTTTAATTACATTCCAGAGCTGGAGAGATGGCTCTATGGTTAAGAGCACTTGCTGCTGTGGCAGAGGACCCAGGTTCACTTCCCAATACCCACATCCATCAGGCAGCTAACAATAACCTGTAACTGTAGTTCCAGGGGTTCCAATACCCTTTCTGGCCTCTGAGGGCACCTGCACACATGTGGAACACATATACATAAAAATAAATAATTCTTTGAATTACAGTTCATTTTAAAAAGGATACTGATTCAACAACAGGTTTATTTGGCACAGCGGTGAGCCAGGGCTTTCCAGTAAGCTGAATATATTACATGAGCAAACACCTTATCGTCATGATACATTCTGCTAGGAGGAGATAAGGCATGAGCAATCAAGTAAGTAAGTCAGCATTTTGGGGGACCAGGACTTTGCAAAGTTCAAATAAGGCTGTTTGAATGGAGACTGGCTAGGTGGCTACTTTAGGTCAGCAGAGAGCTCGCCAAGGAGATAGCATTTGCAATGAAACTGAATGATAAGGAAAAACCCCCAAGAAGTTAAGATAGGAGATGGCCAGTGCAACTATATGAGCTGTTTGATATTTGAGGAACAGAAAGAAAATCGGGGTAGCTAGGGAACAGTGAGTGAGGATAGTGGTGGATTGTGAGGTCAATGAGTCAAGTGGGAACAGCTCACAGGAAGCCTTGCAAACCCCCAAGGGAAATTAGATTTTATTGAAATGGAAGGCATTAAGCAAAAGAGTAGTATGATATGATTTATGTGTCATGAACATCACTGTAGCGGCTGTGACAGTGAAGTCTTACAGGGTTAGAGCGGAAGGAGAGAAAGGTCAGAAAGAAGACTAATACACAGTGGTCCAGACAAGGGATGACGTGGATTGGAATAAAGTGATGTGGTTGGAATGGACAGTATGAAAAGACACAGACAAGTCATGTTGCCTAGCGCCCTCTCCTCAGTTACCAATTTGTACTCTTAGCATCCTTTCAAAGGTCTTTTTGGTAATAAGGACAATCCATTTTTCTAATCAAACACCAACATGCTTTCTGCTAATGCTTTTGTTTCTTTTACTTCTGGTAATTCAGCCTCAATCAATAAGCCTAACTGATTTACAATGTTGGCCCTGAATAAAACTGTCCAGAGGTGTTTTGAAAGCAGCATGTTTTCATTGAGCCTTCTGAGTCCTTTTTTACTGTTTTGCTTTCATTTATTTGTGTATGATTGTTTCACTATATGTATATGTGCATGTATTTATGTATGTATGTTTGAATGTATGTGTACCATGTGGATGTCTGATTCCAACGGAGGACAGAAAAGGGCATCAGATCCTCTCAAACTGGAATTACAGATAATTGAGAGCTGACATACTAAACCTAGGTCCTCTGCAAGAGCAGCAGCTGTTCTTAACTGCTTAGCCATGTTCCAGCCCTGACTTCTGAGATCTTACTGAAAGTTGCCACAGTTTTGCTCCTTCAGTTATGTTTGAAAATACGCAATCTGACTAGAAATAATCATTAATTTTGTCAATTATTCTATTCCATCAGTCTTCATTGAGTCACCTCAGGATTTCCTATGGCTCATTACCAAAGACTAACATTCTTAACAAGAACAACAACAAAAAGTATACACTGGTTTTGGTTTTCCCGCAGAATGTGGGCGAGCTCTGCTTACATGAACATGAAATTTGTGTTTATGCCCATCAAGATGGCACTTGTAATACATACTTAAGTCATCACCCCTTGAGATGAAACCATAGCGTCCATTTCAAGAACAAGCAAAGCACACCTAAGTCATGTTATCCATGGATTTTATGGTGAATTCAGTCAAAGAGACCTACATTAGCTCGTGCTTAATTTTTAATTAAATTAATCTTTATGGGTCAGAAAAGATTTGTAACACTAATTCATGCTACAGTTGTTTTTAAGGAGAAATTTGAAGCTTATTAGACCTATTTAATTGGAAACAAACCTCAGATTTATTTAAGTTTGACTAGTCAAGCCAAGACCAGATAAACAGATACTGTTTTACTACTTATCAGATGAAGTATAATTGATATTCTCAAAATGAGAAATAATATATTTTATCTGAGATGGTATAAATTATGAAGACACTATAAATGGTAAAAGAATAAAAACCAAAAACAGACTGAATGCAAGTAATATGTGGGAAATTTGTCTTTTATACTTCTTTAACTTTTAAATTCTGCTGAACTAAAAATTGTCTTTTGTTTTGAATATATATTTAATAAGTGAGAAGATTAGGTTTCATTTCCTGAAATGTAAAAATATTAACATTGTCGGGCGTGGTGGCACATGCCTTTAATCCCAGCACTCGGGAGGCAGAGGCAGGCATAGCTCTGTGAGTTCAAGGCCAGCCTGGTCTACATAGTGAGTTCCAAGACAGCTGGAGCTACAGGAAGACCCTATCTCCAAAAAGACCAAAAAAATTAATATTGTACAGTTACATGAAAGAAATCTAAGCAGAAAATATGATATAGAGTTTTTCATGCTATAGACTTGCGTTTTCTCTTATTGAGAAAATGTTATATTTATTCAGGTTATCTGTATTTCTGGTTTTAAAACATGACTTCATGTATGTACATGTTTTTACTCTTATTCCCCCCAAATAAAAAAGAACAAGAATTATTCTTGAGATATTAAAATTCCAAAAAATCAAGACAAAACCTGTGCTTGTGCTCCACTGAGAGATGTAGGATATATAATTGATAACGAATGAAACCACTCTAAATCCCCACAGAATCTCAGACTGGCTGCACTTGGCCAGCTACGTCATTCTCTTTCCTCCTGCTCTTCAGACCCCTGTTTCCTTTACTTTGTTCATTTCTTAAATCACCCCTTACTTTCTGTTTCATGAAGGAATCACTACCAAAATCAATCACCAGCCCAGCAACTGGGAGAAGAGCAGATCCCATAGGGTGACTGATAAAATTAATACAAGGAACCCAGAATATACCAAGCAGAAAATTGCACCATAGATAACCAGAATGCTAATGTTAATGAAACAATAAATACATTCAAGAACTCATCTAGGTGCTTTATAAATATTAAATTGCCTACTTTTCACAACAGTCTATGAATACTGGGTACATGTTTATTGTGTTTTAAATCAAGAGAGGTGTACAGGAGTTTTTAAAATATATGCAACATTTCACAACTAGCAAATGACAGGCCCAGGATTGAGACAAATAGGCTTCAAAGCTCTTGGTCTTCACCATGCTAAGACAATGCCTCTCTAATCAAAGGCATTTTTTTTCTGTTCAAAGGCATTTTCTCTGTGAATTCCTTGATTTCATCTCACAGACACATTTCATAGACTTTCTGTAGATTCAATTTTATACTTCTTAGAGTTAGAATTGTCCAAGCCACCCTTACCACTCACCTCCAAAACAGTACACAGTTCCTTATGCGGACATTATTAATTACACCAACATTACAACTACTTTGTACAAAATAAAAGCCTGAATCTTAAAATAAGTTTTTAAGAATGGGCCTGAACTCAGAGAATACTTGCCCCCCAAAATGTCTCTCAGAATCGTGCCAATGGTACAGGCCACGCCCACATTTTTATTCCAAGTGGTTTCTCCAGCCTCATTGAGGGTCAACCCTAAATTTTAGCAGACCATCAGGTTTTTTCATCCATAGCTCCAATTCACCCAAGGTCACCAGTCCTTCCCAGCCTCCACAGTGTTCAGTGGAAATGGAGTGCTGTCTTTCAGCACTTTGATATGTTAATTATCTTTTTGGGTGGAGAACCAAATGAAGTTGCCTAGGAAATAAGATCAGGTACCAAGGTCACAAGATATAATAATACTTGGTTTTGCTGGGGTTAATTAAAAGTCATTAATCCAGGGGGCTGGAGAGACAGCTCAGTGGTCAGAGCACTGACTGTTGTTGCAAAAGACCCAGTTTCAAATCCCAGCACCTACTTTGTGGCTAACACTGCCCTTAACTCTAGTTCCAGGGGATCCAGTGCCCTCTTCTGACCTCTCAGGCATTGCATGACACAGGTGTACTTACATGCAGTCATCACATTCACACATATTAAGTAAATAAATAAATAAATAATTATAAAAAAAATTTTAAGAAGTCATTAGTCCAGATTATGTCTATTAATAAAAGTCATCCCCACACTTTAAAGGCAATCATCTTTACAATGGGACTCGTTTTGCATTGCTGTCATAAAATTTTACCATAAAATTAGTGGTTACAAGTAACACAAATTTACCATCTTATAATTCTGTAGAAATCAAGGCACTCTCCATCAAAATTCTGATGACATAACAGAAATAGAATAGTCTTAACTTTTGTATGGAATCTTGAAGACCTTGAATAACTAAAGCAGTTTGGAGCCAAAAGAACAATGCTTTCAAAATTTTACAGACATAGTAAACCAAACAGCATGGTACAAGAAGAGACTCAATATTGCTTTCCGTAACGGCTGTAATGAATTACTAATAATGTACTGCCCACAGTGCAGTGGCTCCCTTTCCCTGCACTAACACTTGCTATCTTTTTCATCTTTTGACAACAGTCATTCTAGTAGTTACAAGCAAAGAGATCTCATTTTGGTTTTAATTTGCATTCTTCTGAGCATTCATGACGGTAAGCATTTCTTCATATATCTCTTGTTTACCATTTTTTATGAAATACTTATCTAGATGATTTGGCTACTTTTTTATTAGGGTGATTGGTTTTGCTATTGAATTGAGATCCTTAACATTTTTTTCAATATTAGCACCTCACCAGGTGTTTGATTTGCCAATATTTTCTCCCAGTTTCTGTCTCTCTAGTCTGTTGTTTCCTTTGTAGGGAAGAAGCTTTTTCGTTTGATGTGCTTCAATTTCTTTATTTTTGCCTTTATTTTCTCATGTTTCATGTTATATATATATATA